TAAAATAAAAACAGTAATAATGCTAAGTAATAGGCTATACTAAAAAATACATAAAATACACAAAAAAGGTCAACAAATAATAAAAAATAATACTTTTTGAAAAAAATCTGCTTAAAAATTCGTGTTTTTTTGGTTATTTGATAAATTTCTCCAAAAAATGCCCCTATAACAGGTAGTTTTTATTACTTTGTATTATTCTCTATCGTATTATCTTCGTAAAACCAAAAATCTCATGTCTCTATCCCTATCACAACATTTGCTATGATCGTTTGAACAAAGCCCTGCCACAACATTATTCTCAGCTACAGGTAGAGACAATTTTAATTTTAACTAAAATGCTTATTTTACTTCGAAATCTTTTGTTTTTATTTGAAATCTAACTTGTCTTTATCAAAATTACAAATCTAGAGCCATTTTCAATTTTGTTGTTAACGAAGCGTTGAATGGCGCGCCCGGAGAGGCTTAGTTCAAACGATCATTGCAAACGTTGTGATAGGGATAGAGACATGCGATTTTTGGTTTTACGAAGGTAATACGATAGAGAATAATACAAAGTAATAAAAACTACCGGTTATAGGGGCATTTTTTGGAGAAATTTATCAAATAACCAAAAAAACACGAATTTTTAAGCAGATTTTTTTCAAAAAGTATTATTTTTTATTATTTGTTGACCTTTTTTGTGTATTTTATGTATTTTTTAGTATAGCCTATTACTTAGCATTATTACTGTTTTTATTTTATCAGGATATACCGCTTAGTTTAAAAGTTATTACATATTCTTTACAATAAGTAATTGAAAGAAAAAAAATTCTATAAATTTTTTTTAAAAAATCTCAAAAAATTTAGGACCTCTTTTTTGTCGATAAAATCAGGTCTAGTTTCATCTATTTCCATATGTACATTTTAACGTGACTCACACTGTATAACCCTTTCGGACCCGCGCTTAAACTAGAAAGAAATTTGTAATTTTGAACATGAATTTTAGGTAATTTGAAGCCGCAGATTACGAATCTGCTATAATTTTCCCGATTTTCCGCCGCCATCTTGGAAAATTCCTATACCAACAATTGTATCAAACTGGGCCCTTCACTTCCTACGTACAATTGTGAGGGTCAAAATTGTAAGGGTTTTGGAAATTTTATCAAGGGCATGTATTCCGAAAAACGTATTTATAATCAGTAAAAAATAAACAGGTTTAATTTATATACCGTGTATTTGCCATTTAATATTGATTTGTGGGCAAAACCATCTGTTCCATGACCTCAACAGTAAATATAGCGCTCGAAATGTTCCTATGGAGTTTTAATATCTCCTGGATCATGAACAGCATCTCCTGAAAGATGTTGACGATTGAAGGGCTTCATCTGCCATGCTGCTTGCATATTCAGAGGTATTTATCGTCATGAATGTCTGAGCCTTCATCAGCAGAAGAGGAGTAGTTCATCTGAAGTAGTCGAAACTAGCTTTTGTCGTTGTCATAGCTCTTATCCCCAGGTGCATAGAGCATCTCTGCGATAGTAGCGTCGTTGAAAATCGGAAACATGGTGCGGAAACCATGAAAAATTAATAATTATGAGAAACTTAAAATACGCTTAAGGTATTGTAGGGCCCACGTCGATACAATTGTGTCAGTAAAGTTCGTTAAGCTGTTACGCCAAAGCCTTTGCTCACAAGTAGTCACTGTTATCACAAAAAGATGCTATTTTTAACTATTTGTCCAATCAATAACTTGTATATTACTACAATTACAAAATAAAACCATAGTAGGCACTTTCTTTCGCCAAGTCGGGGAGCGCAATCAGTCATGAACTGTACAGGTTGTAACCTGCTCACCAACTGCGCTTCGGCCAAAATTTGCACGGGAGGTGAAAGAACGCATCCCGCACAATCGTACGATACTCAGCCCATCCACTTCCGATGTAAAACTAATGAGATAATCTCGATTTTGTAACCCGCACAATTGTATTGGAGCGGTCCGAAAGTTTTTTTAGAAATCATCGTCATCACTTCTCATTTCCACTGTAGATGGCGGTACTATATTTTTGCATTGTAAATAAAAAGCAATATAAAAATGACACGACATTTATTCAGTAGATACAAAATACATAATCGGTTTTAAGTACCTACCAGAAGCAATTCCAAAAAGGTTATACAAAATTTCGACAATTTATTACATACAATGATATCTTGGTGCAACTGTTACTTATAAATTAGGCCATTTCTCTCCAACACAAAAGTGTGAATAAGACAGAAAGCTGCTCAAATTACAAAAGTCGTAGCGGCGCTAGTGTGATTTTTTTTATTTCCATACCTTATTTCTAAATGAATCTGCTTCTAATAATAATATCTGTCTTAAAGAATACGCACCGTGTATACATTATATATATATTTCGATCTTCAAATATTTTAAAACGTATATAAGAGCTGTCACAAAGTTGCCTTACATTATTAACAAATTATTAAAAATACAATGTGCGCTGTAAGCACCATGGCTCATAAAACATTTTTTTTACATTAAAAGTACAATTTAAAATATAGATTCAAAATGCTGATAGATAAGATATAAAATATTTAAATAAGGTATAAAAATTATTTAAATATAGCATAAGAAAAATGTAGACTTCAATATTAAAGGCAAAGCACAGCTTTAGTTTAAAAACTCCATACAAATACCTAATTTAAATGCAAAATTGTTTTATATAAGCTGTCAAAATCAGAGAATTTAATTAAATAGTATTAAAAAACAAGGCTATAAATTGTAGAAAGTTGATTAAAATAAATATCATATTATGATGAAAAAGGAGATATAGTTAAGATACAAAAAATTGGTTAATTCATCCTACAATGATATAATATTTTACGGTCGAACTTATTTAATTATTTGTAAAATATTCGCTACCACACTCAGGGATGTTATTTTACCGGTATATTCTGTAACTGAACTAGTGTTGCGTGTCGCATATCGGTACTCGATATTTTAAAAATGAAACACAAAATCGGTAAAATTACACCTCTAAGCGCATGCCTATCTTAACATTGGACGGATTAAACTAAACGCACCATTAAATAAAAAATACTTGTAAAACATATTTTGTACCTTATTTGATAAATAGCTATAGCTCCATTAATAAGGTATAGAGCCTCCTTAGTCACCCTGATTTAGCTCTTAATAATGTACACACATCAAGAGAAATATATGAATAAATTAGTCGACAACATAACTCATTTTAGTTTGAAAAAAAAACTACTTTCTTCCCATAGAAAAATATAAGACAGATATTTAATATTATTTGGCTGAAAAAATGAATAAAAGTACAATGCTGTTTGCCTTAAAACAAGCTTAGTTTGTGTGTAAAATTTTTATCAGTTCATTGCATACAAGTACCTATCTACGTACGTATGAATTTTATTTTATGTATGTTCTTTCGTGATTTAATATATTTTCTAAATACTTTGCGCGTACAATAAGTTCTGCTGTCGAATATACAACAAAAACTTACACTATTAATATCATTTTAAAAGCACACATTTTTATATTACCTTAATATGTATAATAATTATAGGAATAAATGAGATTACGACCTCTATATCGTAGAAAAAACTAAAGACAACATAAAAAGTATACAGTAGAATCCCGATTATCCGGATCAATTAAAACCGGATATCCGGATAATCGATTTCAAAGTAAAATCAAACAATAATGAAGTTTTTACAATAGAAAGAGTTTTCAATACATTAAGTATTTAGAGTCAAAAATCTAAATTTTAATCTACATTGGATGAATCCATTTCTTTTAACAATGAACTAAGACGAAGTCCGGACCGTGTTACGGTGGCGGCGCCTTCCGTTTTTATGGGTCCAGGTCCCAAATCGGTAATTAGAAACCGTGAAGAATGAGTCCGGATAATCGGATATCCGGATAATCGAAGTCCGGATAATCGAGATTCTACTGTAAATAGTACATAAACTTCATTTGTGATCTTTCTACATAAAACATTTTATGTAAAATCCTATTATACTGATGAAAGAAATTAATATAATAATTATTACACTATAAGGTATATTATACGGTAGTGTTGCGCATTAATAGTCCACAAAGGATATTATTGTTTCTATACTTAAAGCAAAACCGATATTATTGTAACAATATTATAATGAATTTCAACAGGTTTCGCCACAGAATGTTGCTTTGAGAAGTCGCTGCTTCGATTCCCGTATTCCCGGAGTATTGAACAATCGATAATATCGGTATCTTGATAATATACGTGCAACACTACTCCAGATGAATTTTTTGTAATATTCTTGTGATATGTCGAGAGTCGTGACACATATTTTCTGACGTAAATATATCTTATGCATAACATCTAAATGGTATTACTATATCTTTACTACATTACGTTATAAATAGTATCTCTCGGTGGATCGCCAATTCGAACATTTGTGATGTTTACATTTAAATATATTGAAATATAATAATGGTAAAATTTCTTAGACATTTAGGGGTATTTCGATATGATTTTAAGTTTTAATTAGCTTTAAAGTATAATATACTATTTTCCTTTGTCCGATTACATTATGTTGATCAAAGATAAGTATTAGAGACTCTGTAAAGAAATACCCCAATAAAATTAAGTTAATTTAAACTTTTATAACTTAATAAACGCTCTTTTGAACCGTGAGCAACCTAAATGGCTTATCGCAGGTACCGTATAATTAACAATACTTGCATAAATAATAAAAACAGTTAGCGAATGTTGTGATATTAACCAAACTAATGTATTATGGGATGTAAAACGCTCCCAAGATGATTTTATGTTTCAAATAATAATAATTAATTACTGCCTTTCAATTACCCATATTGTTCTTGATGATATTGACGATTTCTTGTTATAAAAACATTTATAATAATTTTATAATCTTAAAAAAAGGTGGACCGATGACCTGATAAAGGTAGCGGGAAGGCGCTGGATGCAGGCCGCTACCAACCGTGCGATGTGGAAGTCATTGGGGGAGGCCTATGTTCAGCAGTGGACGTCCTGTGGCTGAAATGATGATGATGATGATGATGAATCTTAAAATAGTTGTTACGACGGCTACAAGGAAGGCTTTCTACCAGTTATCATGGTAGGATCTACAGCTCGGCTTTTAATTAAATCAACCAATGTAGGTCCAGGGAATAACTACGTAGCTGCATTGGAATCAGCAACAAAAACTAGAAAAATATAGGAGTTCAGTAATTTCAACTTCCTTTGATAACTAGGTGAGACGTCATAATGTAATGAAAATTCAAAAATGTCATTATACAACACGCAATATTAAATATTGTCTATATTATGTAGTTTTTATCACAACATTCGCTACTGTCCGGACTCTGCTCTATTTTTGTGCTCAATTCTTACTCCTTGGTCTCCTTAGGTTGATCCGTGTAGACTATTTCCGCATACTCCGTGGATGGTGGCGGTGGTTTGTCAGCGTTTTGCTCTCCGAGTTGGAGTTCCGCGTAGACCACGCCTTTCTTCTCCTCTGAGAGGGGCTGGAATTAAATTGTTAAGATATTAAATAATGCGCGAAATTATTAACGGTAGAAGAAACAACTCTAATATGGGCAGTATCTTCCTTTGAACCAGACTAACAGAAATTAGAGTTAAATACTTGTAATACAATAAAGATAGTTAATAATTGCAATGCACGCTGATATTTATTAATTTACTTCATTTTATAAGGATCAGGATTGTTGCTATAATACTATAGGGTAGGAAATGTGATATTGTGGACCGCTCATAAAAGTACAGTCATAAAGTAGGTGTAGGTACCTAATTAGCAAAAAAGATTTAAAATGCAAACTAACTAGTAGGGTGTTATTAAAAATCAAGTGCAAAGTATCAAAATTCAAATTCAAATTAAAATTCAATATTATTTATTGTAATAATAATTAATTCTTAATCTAATTTGATAAAGAACGTAATTCAAACTATACCTTTTCCTCAGTCTCAGCGGCCGCCTCCGTCGCTTGCACCTTGTCCTTGGCCCTCGGAAGCACAGCCCTCACTCGCGCGCTCAGCCCCGCGAGACGCGACCGCTCCTTGCCTCCCACGGCGCTCTCGGTGTCGCTACTGGCCGTATATACATTGTCAATATCGTGTATAATAATTATTATTTGTATATATCGTCAATATCGTGTGTATATTAATAAAGTCCGGTCGCCGAGCACGTAGAATTTTGTCCAATGACCCCAAGCTACCTATCCTTATCACTCGCGCGTAATTATATTGCTGTCGCGACTGTGCGACGGGCGGCAGCAGTGAGTGTGCGAGCGCGTCAGCAATATAATTACGCGCGAGCGATAAGGATGGGTAGCTTGGGGTCATGGGACGAAATTTTACGTGCTCGGCGACCGGACTATAGACAGAGTACTGAAAAATTGCTCACATTTATACCAGTTAATTCTTTACAACTTAAGAAAATGTGATTCTCTCACCGACAAAAATGAGTTCGATAAAAACATAATTATTTGCACGATTGAATAGTATTTCTGTACTCTGTCTGAATAAATTACGACAAAATTTATATGTAATTGTTTGAGTAAGTATAAATGCAAACTGGTAAGTTATTAAATGGTATATTATGTTGAAATACATGAATACAAGGTCCCACCCAATGTTCCAACATTTAATAGTTAATAAAAAACAATATTAATGAAATTAATAATGAACTTCTTCCTCTTCCTCCCATGCACAGTTAGTGGACAAAACCATTATCATTGAGAATACAATAAAATATATAAATATGTAATTGAATGAATATAGTTTACCAATAATAGTTCATTACTCGGTGTGAAAAATTATCTGTGAAGTCAACAAATGAAGATGTATTCTTTCAATGAGTGAAAAATGAGAATGTATACAAAATATATACACTTTAAGATATTACAGTGATCTGAAGCCAAGAATTCGTGCAGCTAAACAAGGAAACGTACGTTCTAGAGGGAAGCGCGACCCCAGACTCTAAAAGCACATCGCCAGTCGTCCTTAACAAAAAGCAGTATATAAGCGAAGGGTTCTCACACAAACACTATGCTGAATCGGATCGTTGAAATCTACGACATCGCAACGTGCTTTTGCTCAAGGCACGTCGTAACGATCCACGTTGCGATGGCGTTGATTTCGACAATACGGCGCGTCGCGTCGTAGTACGACACGACGTCGCAACGTGTTTATAAATGTGTAAGAACCCTAAGTTCGGTAGTGAGTACCTGTAACATTGGTAGTTATAACATGTTCGATATTAATAAACAAATAATATTTAAGACATTGAAAAAACAGTGGATTAAAGGTGTTGATGGTATGTAAGTAGGTATAACGTTACTTAATTTTATTTTTTACAATTAAACTGCAATAATAATACTATCAACAACAAAATGTGTATAATACATTGTATATTAGTTAAAAACCCATTGCAAAAATATCAAAAAAAGCATACAATTACAAATCCCAAATTAGTAAACAGTTATCACTTCGATCCACAGTTTAGGACAAAACAATATACAATTGGCAATATACAGTATTAGCACTGGTAAATGTATACATTTAAGATTGTAATATACAAAAAATATTGTAAATATACAAATACGTACGATTCTCCAGAGCTCTTGGCGTTGTCGCGGCTTCTGCCTCCTGTTAGGATTTAAATATAGTATTAAACTTATTTTCTAATAGATACTGTTTTAACTTAATGTATTAACATTAAATGAAAACAGTATCTATTATAAAATAGGTTGAAATATATCACATAAAACATATTTACCCGTATTTCTTTAGGAAGAAAGTTTAGCTATTGCTACCTAAATTTTGTAACTTTTTTATAAAAAATTTAAGAATTTATATTTAAATGCATAAAATAAAATAAAGGTAGGTAGAGTGAAGCTGTAAAATGTAATTTTGTAAATGTAAAGGCTGTATAAATGCTTCCAAGTGCGCCATGCTTACATAGAGGATTATTGTATCACATTAAAATTTTAATCAATATGAAATAACTATTATGGAGACAAATAAAACAAACTGATTATTATTTAATAAATACTTTATATTCAATTATATCCATTTAACGTAGTGATTTATAAACATCGAAGTTATATTTGATTATTGAGACCTAGACAATAGAATAATTGGTATAATCTTTAGAACAACATCCATACAACATGCCATATGAGAAACTAGAACATATACATTGTATAATATAGTTTAACAATATTTATATTTATGGGGTGGACAAACTATATTATAATTTCAAACTATATTAGGTTTTTTACACGTAAATGGCAATAATATATATTTGCCACAATTTAGAGGAAATATAATTTAAAATCAATACCAAAAAAACTTTTCAGCAGTTATTTATACCTACTTTAAAAATTCCAAAGTACTACACTCCTATTTGTTTTGTAAAGTAGAAATTTTAAGCATTATTGTACTATTTGTTTTTTCTTATACTTTCTCTGTGACATGTTGTATCTTGAGTGTAAGTAGTAAGAAGTTTTCCAAAAGCTAAAAATAATTTGAGCGAAATTTCGAAGCCTAGTTTGGCGAAGTGCAAAATGGCAGTGTTCCAAAAGTTCGTGTTTCTTAGAGTCCCGCAGACTTCAGACTTTTTCGACCGATAATTTCATCGGCTTTAAATTTGTATAAGATATCGGCCGATACAAAATCGGTGTAATGTGCGTGCTTCCATACATGTTCATTCTGATCAGCTCGACCAAACTATCAGCCGATATAAGTCTGTAGTTTATGGGGTGTCTTAATTGACAAATCTGAAGTAGCTATGCGAATAACTAACTAAATTGGTACAAAAATAAATTCTTAAGTCACTTTGCACGCTCACTAAATACAATTTAGCGCTAAATTCAGTTTGGCAGTCGAAACTTTTTAGCGCTAAATATTTAGTAAAATGTACAAAAAAGTCTTACTATGTACCTAACTTGTTAAAAATACTAAAAAAATCACAATGGTGACTTAAAATGCTAAGCTTAACATAAAATCAATTCATAAACATGTTTTTACAACAGTTGTGTGATTCTTTAATTCCATATTCGTCAATATTGGTTTTTGCTTAATTTAATCAATACTAAATTAAATGTAACTGCAAGATTCTACACTTAAAAATAAATTTAATGTGTCATTACACGCTTTTTATATACAAAATAATAAAAATTATATAAAAGATGGTGGTACGAACACATTACATTACTAAAAATAAACTAAACTTATTTCAAAAGATGAGTTATCAAGAAATGGTACGCAAAAGAACAAAATATTGTGAATCAATTTTCTTTTGCAAACATTTTGTAATTACATAAAAGAAAACTTATTAATCTAATAAATAAGTCGCGAGTCTTAAATATAATATGTATGAATTTGTGATTTAATAGTTTTTGATTTTATTATAAAACAAATTTGCATAAAAATTGTCAAAAAGCGTAAAAAATGGCGCAATTATTCAATTCTGTTTTACTATTAAAAAGTATCAATATATTGCATGGTGTGTTCAACATTCAAATAATGTTTTAAGTTAAAATGTTGATTGTATTTTCATATTAATATTTATATAAATCATTGATACTTTTTAGACAGCGAATTCTTATAGCTATTTAGTCAAAACGACGGCTTTAAAAGGTTGGGATTCGTTGTAATACGGGATATTACATTAAAAACGTTCCTATAATGAGATTCTTATATAATTTCTCTACAAATATGTTAAAAATTATTACAAACTATCAAATGACCGGGGAAAAAATCATACATAGTTTGTTACAGTTAGTCGAAAGAAAATTGGAAATCAAATGTACATTTTTTTCCCGGTCACACGGTAAAGATTCAAAATTGGTGGACAACATTAGAAAAAGACATTTCTTATTATAATTTGAAAAAGAAATGGCAATTCAAACATAGCTTTATCATAACTTATTTAAAATATTAAGACTTCTACACATTTTATTGGTTTTATTCACTATTTAACTAGTGCAATTTATTTTCCGATAATAATTTTCTTTAATATGATTTTAAACTAATAATTTTAAAATTAATGTGTACAAGTCTTCATAAGTTTCACCAACGAAAATATCTTTTTGGAATAAACAAATCGTTCGACATTATACACTTTATACGTAATGTAACAAGTTCTCGAAATAACTCAATCTGGCACTATACGAAACTAAAAAAAGTTCGGAATTTATAGCTGTCATTCGGGTATATTCGTAGAGAGGACATAAACACAAAAAGAGAGAAGGGGAGGTAGGTTTTCCTTTCATTAATCCATAACATTTATTTACTATATTGATCGAGCTAAAATTTAGTTATTGGCCTAAACATTCAAATTAATCATTTAAATATAGAAAATTCATATTTTAGCTAAGGAAATGTCAAATATTAATTACCAACGTGCCCATAGCTTAGAGAATAATAAGATTTTTGGTATGTCACCAAGGGCAGTTCCCTAGAATATTACTGCCTAATAGATGTAATTGCGGGGAGCTAGCCTGTATTAAAAGGGGATTTGTCCCCTTGTGGGTGTTATCAAGGGGACCATCTCACTGTTACCTAAAAGTTGTCGTTGAGAGGAGCTAGTCTTTACGTTAAAAGGGGATTTGTCCCCTTGTAGGTGTTACCAAGGGGACCATCTCACTATTAACAGTGATAGATGTAGTTGAGAAGAGCTAGCCTTTGTTTTAAAAGGGGATTTGTCCCCTTGTAGATGTCACCAAGGGGACAATCGCGGTTACCAAGCCCCCTCCCCGAATGACAGCGCGACTTACGATTTAAACGGCCGTGTCGGGTTTTTTCTCCGGGTGCTTCGTGTCGCCGTTGCTGATGTACTCCCCGTGATCGTGGGTGGGATTCTCTGAGCCTTTGACGTCATCGTGCGACGGCAGGGGAGCCTCCGAGTCGGCCCCGTCCGGTATATCGGTCCGATGCGAACGTCCTGCCACAACGTCAAGCGATCAAGAACATACCCTGACTGTATCAAGTGCCTGTGCGGTGACTGGATTGCTCAAATTTTAGCGCTATTTACCGTGAACCAAAACCAAGTGCATGTTTCTGAGTTTTTAGCTGTGTTTTGTTTTTTAGCTTGTCAATCAGCGTGAATACTTGTTAATGGTCTAACTACGTTGAACACTCGGTTGAATTTATAAATACTGTAACTATCGCCAACAGCTGTGCACGTTTCTAAAACTTAGCTTGGGCGTTGTTGAATTTTGTTTTAGTTTATGAGTAGCGTGAACACACTAGCACTTTAAACTAATCTTAATTTAAATGTAAGAGCGATCAAATATTTTTTATTTAAACGCTAAACTACTATTAATTAAATTGTGCAACTGTTTTCTAGTTATTATTTAATTATTTTTAGCTAAATTCCGGTAAATTAGCCGAAATTTTAACTAAATGTTAGTACCTCAATAAAACCATTATAACCACAAAATATACCATTTATTTATGGCCACAAATCATATAGCTATTTAATTAGTCAAATTATAGATCACTATTAAGGATCGACTCGGAAATTAATCGTAACGTCAGTTACGTAGGATTTTGTCATCTTCACTTAAGTGATGAATCCAAATAAAATTAACTTTAGTCAAATTATCCTAATCGCTACAGCCATTGAGTTAATAACTAAGGAGCTAAAAACAGTTACCGATATATTTTCATTTAATAGTTAAACCAGCACCAACATTTAACTGAAAATACGTTTAGACAAAATTATTAATATATTATTTGCTAGACCCAAGTACCACAATGGTTAACTAAAATAGACATTATTATTTTGAGGAACTTAAACTTTTAAATTATAGCCTGACCAGGAACATAAAAACCCTCGCCATGTTGCGGAAAACTAATGGTACTAATTTCTTTTAATGGCAACAGTTACTGAAAACTTCATTAACATGTCACCTTGCATGTCAGTCTATTGCTGTCAAAGTGTAAACAAACTTTATTTTAAATGTGTGCAATTGATTTTGTGAATTAAATTGCTAAAATATTTTTATAGTCGTGAAAGAAAAGTGGTTCACAATGTGTTAATGTATTTGTCGAAGAGAAATACCAAGGGTTCGAACAATATTTTCATTGAATAATGTTTCCGACAAAGGTTGTCAAATTGACTGACATGTTTATCGTATAGTACAGTCCACTATGAAAATTAGCTGTAGTTTGTTTCAACTACCTATTTTAAAGTTTTTTGTCACTTTCTCAGTTTTGAATTTTATGGAATTGGGAAAGAAGTACCGAGTTTGAAGCGTTCATGAGCAGACATTGCAGTTGAATATTTAAGTTCTGAATTTGATTATTGATGAATAATAAAATAAATCTACTAGCTCGATTGATGGTTTCATTTAATTTATTTAAACCAGGTTACCTTTATTAATATTTTTTCGTTAATTTATGAAAATATGAAATTAGCCCGTAATCCTGAATCCTGATACATAAATTTAGCCTATTAATTTAACACAGGTACGACTGTACTCAGTGTTGCACTATCAAATGCAATTGAAGCGCCTCTATGCCAGGGTTTTTATGTTCCTGGTCAGGCTATAATTAGTTTATTTTTCTATTTCATTAAATTGATTAATTAATTTAACTGACAGGAAATTTTAATGACAAAACATTTAACCACCACCATGGTAAATGAATGATAACAATTATGCATTTGAATTTTTAATTAATGTCTCCTTTGCCAACAGATGGCGCTAGTATCAACAATAGCAGTTTCTTTTATGGAACGGATAAAATTTTTAGTTCATAATAACTACAAAAACTTCTCTCTTACTTTTTAGTAGGTAAATGAATAGATAAATTATAATCGAATGTAGTTGGAAATTATATTTTTTAAGTTAAGAAATAGAAATTAGTTCAAAATAGAAATAGAATTTAGTTTTAGTCAAGTTCATTTACTTGTGGATTTAAGACTAATATAATACTAAATTTTCGAAGAAGCTGCTATCGTTTTGAAGCACCATTTAACTAACCAATTTTTTGTATCATTGGTAATTGATAAATCCTCCTACTTATTAGATAGTATTAATTAATTCATGCAAAATAAATATGTTGATAATGATATTTATTTTAAAATTAGACATTTTAATTAAATAAGTTATTTCATGCAACACATTAAGTTAATCAAGTACATGCTTTTAGAACAAAGATTTTTAGATAATAAGGCACATGCGCCGGTTAAAAAAATATTAGAACAATCATGCATTTTTAAATAAAAAAAATTTTTGGATTTCAATAAATTTTGACGTTCTTGATCGCTCAAAATGATGTTATGTGGCACAGACACAATTTTATACTTAAATTAAATACATAAACTTTAAACTACATAACGAAGTATAAATAGATATAGATGCACTAAAATAGTACATTTTCAACTTCTGTTGAAGTTTTGGGAATAATTTAGAATTCTGTGGATATTAAAATCTAATAACAGGCTTTACAGAAACATGTCTAATTGAAAATATAGTTGTCAATTTTCAAAAGTTTTGATTATCTAGTTATAATATTTTATAATTATTGTATTTTCTTTAAGAGTTTTTTTTAACTAAAAACTCGACTGTTTCAGATGGGATTCAAATTTATGACCTTAATACTTTTTAAAATATTTTTATCGGATGTTAAGGGCTATTATTAAAATTCTATATTAATTATGGTAATATTATAAAGGGAATGATTAATAACTCTATATCTATTTATTACTTCGTGAATTCGACATACAAGTCAAGCGACGAACACTGCCATAGTACACTTCAAGACATTTTAACTACAATGCAAATATAACTACGAGTTTATTTGGTTTTCTGTACGGTGTTGAAAATTATCGGTTTGAATGTGTAACTACTTCTAGTAATAACTTTTGTCCGCACGAAGATTTTTAATAAACATAAAAAATATAGGAAAAAGAAAAAAAAACTTCGGGCTATTTGATAGTAAATCTTTAATCCAATGATTAGTTATCTGCCTAAGCAAAAAATAACAAACGGTTTTGATTTAGATACCAAACGCCTTTAAAAAATAGATATCAAGTCTTTTTAGCCATAAAATTAGAATTTTAACGTAGGTACGTTTACTATTATGGATGATATTGGTCAATATCATGAAGCTAAAGATAAAAATGGGGCCAGACTTAGAATACCTACTTGAAGCACAACCTATGTATCACTATCTCGCTCTCTGTGGGCAGGCTCTCTCTTTCTAAGTAGGGTAACCTTTTATTTATTTTTCTCAGGACGACAAAGACTGATTTACGTTTAAACAGTGTGTCTTGATAAAGTGCACTTAATATGATTATGAAAAAAGGTTTTCGATGTTTTTGTTTTAAGATGAATTACAACATTAAGAAAGTGTAAAGGCATCGAAAACTGTGGATATTTGATAGAAAACAGATTTTAATTTGGCAGTTGACAGACGGATTTGGATATGGATTGATTACAGTAAACGGCCGTAGAAAACATTATGCAAAATTAGATAAGTAAGGTCCCACAGAAAGTCCCAGATATATCCTCAATATGGTCATACTACTTCAAAATGTCTTATAGAAACAAAAATTTTAAATTTGCTCAAAGTCAATGAAACTCAATGTAAAATCTTCTTTTTCTTGACATATGTAACATTTAATAATAAGTTTAAATACTGGTAAAACGTTTTAGGAAGTAATTACTGTGAAAATACAAAGAAATATGTTAACAATGATCCACTGTCAGAAATCACGAAATAAACACTTACGCGTGGAATTTTATATCACTTCCAGGACAACACGAACTACCGCAACCACGCACTATACAATTTTGCACCATTTCTTCAGACAAAACAATGATAAGGTCCCTTGAAAAATCTCAAACGAAATCAACTGCATAGTAAACAACCGCCATGATGGGCCGGATTCGGCCGATGTTGCCACATTACCGATACCTCAGAAATTGGGATTGTAATTCCCTGATTCGCCAACACATTAAGCCTAAATGGCCGACAATTTTGTGATTTTTTATTTAACTAGGTAATCTAAGTTTCAAATATTAATTATTTATTTATTTAACTTCTTATTTGGTTAGTGAATTGGCTATTTCGAAGAATTTACAAGGAGATTTAAATAAGAAGATAGCAATACTACAGTTCACACTAAAAAGAGAGGTAGGGCCACAGAGAACGAGATAGATATAAGTAGGTATTTGACTCAAGTTTTGTTCCCAACTTTGCCCTCCATTTTTATCTGTAGCTTCATGGTCAATATGTAAGTTAATTTTACTAGTTTCATTAACAGCTCATACCTGTGCGGCTCACTACAACATTGCTCTGTCTAACTACCCCTCCCACTCAAAGCGAGAGTCCCTATAGAAACAGAGACCGACAAACCCGAAAATATGGAAATACCGACAAAAAATGGTTTTAAAATACAAACCGATAATTTTAAACTGGCAGAAAACGTATTTAAAAGTGCATATTGCGAGATACGTGTGACTATTCTGGGTTATTTACCTATCGGTCACCTCGCAATCCTGTTAGAAATAGCTTATTTTTAATCAAAAGTTATCAATAGTATAATGGCACACGGCTACGCAGTACTATAATATTTAATTTTAAGATAAAACATCTTTTGTTGCAGTATCTTATGATATTTAGTCTTGGAAATGTTGAGTTTTAATTCATTAGATTACTTTTTTAATTATTAATTTTACAGATCAAAGCTTAAAACTCGAATCAATATCGAGTAAAAATTGAGGATTTCAGATTTCAAAATCTACACCAATCACACAACATCAACTTTATCAACCAATCAATGGACTCTATAGTCTAGTCTATGAATGTGTAGCAAGAGCAATCATCAACATTTCAATCATAGATCGTCTACAGCTGAACATAGGCCCCCCACAAAGGCCAAGGATCCATCAGTTTGACATCAGACAGAGTGAATCGTAAGACCATTATTCTTTTTAAAGATGTTTTATCTTAAATAAGAAATATTGTAGTACCTTTTGACAGCCTAAAGTCTGCATGCCTAGAGATATATGTTTAAAGCGGTAAAAAGCAAGATGTAGATTTTAAAAAATAATTGAAATATTTTGGATAAAAGTAAATAATTTTGATTAAAAAAGTATCTTTTTTTTAGTAACATAGCACACTTTTTTGAAAGCCTTTTAATCAGTAATAAATGTTAGGAAATCGTATGGCAAGCTTAAAAAAATAACTAACACAAGGTAATTGATTTAAATAAGGGTTTTTTCATTCGCATAACAAATGGGGAAAGGAAAAATAATACGGGTTAAGTGTGGAGGCAGATTATGTATTTTTTCAAAACTATTTTTATTTAAGGAATTACAGTTTTTATTATTTTAACTTAGTTTGAAAGATTTCAAACATTTGATATTCGACTGTATACTTTTACTTTTAGTGAGGTAAAAAAAAATTTTTTAGAGAATTTATAAAAAAATCTAAAAATTTTCTAAAAAAATACAAATATCTGCCATCCCCACCGAACAAGTTACTATTTATTAACGAAAGAAGTCCACTGGCGTTAGTATCAATGCAAACATTGAGATTCCCAAATGACGAATTTCCGCAATGGATTTTTCAACCTTGAATCTTTAGGATATGGTTCAAAATCAAACAAGGAAACTTATCATTTAGTGACAGGTTGCAATGTAAAGTAACATTTATTGCCACAAATATAAAGACTTCTTTCGCGTCAACGCAAGCGCAACTTACCAGCGAAACACCACCGGTCCGTAGCCTTCGCGAAGACTACCAGGAATACGGCGATAAGTAGCGCCAGAACCGCTATCACGATGCCTACAATCGCTCCCGTCTCGAGTTCTACTCCTGGGAAGGTCAGAAATAGGTAAATGATAGTTGTGAGATGTTTTGAACTTTGTGCTATGTGTATAAGAATGAAAATAGATAATTGGTGGGGCGTTTATGCTGTTTGGCTGTACAAAGTAACGGGCAGAAAATAGCAAAATTATTATTTAGGGCCAATTTTTCAATCGTCAGATATCTTTTAATTGCAGAATAACCTTGTCACTTTGACATAAATATTATTTCCCATACTAAAACTGTCAAAGTGCCAAACTTATTCTCCAGTTAAAAGTTATCCGACGATTGAAAAATCAGCCCTTAGTCATAAAAAAATAGAAGAGAAATAAGAATATCATTTTGTCAATTATAATTTTACTGACTGAATTATTTACATGCATTCCTAAGTAACATTATATTTCTATGAATGATATAGAAAATATTCATAAAACTTAAATACGTTGAAGATAAAATTTTGAAATAAAAAAGCATTCGCCAAAATTGTTCTCATGCATTTCAGTACAAAACAATTTTCGAAATTAAATTTTTACATGCAATAAAATCTGTCGAAATACGCATGAAAAAGTTTAACTTTAATTATGTTCTGCTCTATCACATTCATGAACTACATTCCATTAATATTTTTTTTAAATACATAAATAATGTACTCAATTATATTTTCATTTTTTAATTCGCATTCTTTCTTAAATTACTTAAATCAATTACTAATAGGTACTACATACAATCTCAATATCTACTCACAAAAATCATTCTTTCTATTTCAATAAACACATAGATCTCATTGTAACATTATTTATTAGTTTCTAACTAATTTATCATTCTGAGCCAAATTCCTAAACCTACACATTTCTAAAACTAAACTGGACCAAGGTAAATTAAGGACTGAATAATACCAATTTCAGTTTATGAAAAACTAAAATTAGTAATTGCAAAACTAATTTCAGTTTCTATGAAACTAAATTTAGTAACTGTCAAATTAAATTTAGTTATCGACAAATTATATTTATTTATTTGTTGTCAAATGCAATAATTTCAATGGAAATTGGAAACCCAAGGTCATTTTATTAGTTTTAGTAATGGAACAAACATAACCTTTGAGCAGCAGCAAAAAATGTTTTAGAAACTTCTAAAATTCTTCTAAATTAAGAACAAAATGCAGTAAATATAAAACCAGGCGTTTATACAATCATTCCTAATTGTTTCTTACCATAGATATCTAATACCAAGAAGGAAGACTTGGCTTTCCGAGCTGTAGGGCATATAAATACATTTTTACAATGTTATCGTATAAAATATAACTTAGGGTGACGGAA